AGAAGCAATGCACATCACCGAGTTGCTGCTGCTGCTGCTGCTGCCAGCAGCAGCACCTGCTGCTGCTGCTCTGCATAAGGCCTCTCGGCTTCATACAAAGACAGCTCAAGGTATAAACCCTAAACCCTAAACCCTAAACCCTAAACCCTAAACCCTAAGGCCTCTCGGTTCTATACATCAACACCGCACGGTTTTATAAACCCTAAACCCTAAACCCTAAATCAAGGAGCCGCATCCCCTGGGGCAGCTGCAGTGACAGGAGAAGGACTTGGTGTTGCTGCGAATTAGGGTTTAGGGTTTAGGGTTTAGGGTTTGCGTACAGGGGAGGAGGTGCTGCAGGCGCTGCAGCAGCTGCTGCTGCTGCTGTGCTACGAGCGGCTGCTGCTGCTGCTACAAACCCTAAACCCTCGGGAGAGGTTGCAGCTTTCAGAGGCGTTAAGCTCGTGAGTCCTAGGGTTTAGGGTTTAGGGTTTAGGGTTTAGGGTTTGAGTTTCTGTGCTGGTATAGGGGCTGAGCCCGGGCTTAAAAACTAGGGTTTAGGGTTTAGGGTTTAGGGTTTAGGGTTTGTTCGCAGCCTCGGCCTCCCCAACGTGGCAGAGATGACGGCAACGCAGAAACCCCAAACCCTCGCTTCTCTATGAAGGCGCTCGAGGGTTTAGGGTTTAGGGTTTAGGGTTTAGGGTTTTGCTGTCGGCGGCAGCACAGCCTGGCTGTGCTGCGCTCTTCCCCACCAACAAACCTCTTACTATTCAAATTCTTTTTTTTCTGTTGCTGCTGTTGCTGCTGCTGCTGCTGTTGCTGCTGCCGTTGCTGCTGCTGCTGCTGCTGCTGCTGCTGTCGCTAGGTGTCGGCAGCGGGCAGTTGCTGTTGGCGTTTGCGGCTAAAAGTAAACTAAAACAAAACAATTAGTTTATTTTAATTAAATTAAATTAAATTTATTTTTATTTTATTTATTTTTTTTATTAAAAAATAAAAAAATAAAAAAAATACGGCAGCCGAAGCCCCGCGGGTGACGGGGAGCTGCGCAGACACCGCAGCCGTCGCTGCTGCTGCTGCTGCTGCTGCTGCAGCTGCTGCTGCTGCTGCATGCATCTCTTCTGGCTAGTTTTTCTTTATAATGTTTTAATTATTTTATTTTATTTTATTTTATTTTATTTTTATTCTTTTCTTCTTTTGGCTGCAGCTGTATCTGCACCCGCTGGGGTGTATTGATGGCGCGATGTGTGCAGCTACACCGCAGAGCCCTAAACCCCCCTAAACCCTAAACCCTAAACCCTAAACCCTAAACCCTCGTTAGAATGGCGCGCGTCAAACACCCGCCATCCCGCGGAGCTGCGGGGGCCGCGCATCGCCAGCAGCAGCAGCGGCAGCAGCAGCAGCAGCAGCAGCAGCAAGAGTCGCAGCACACAGAAGCATCTATGCATCTAGCTGCTGGCAGCAGACCACGGGGGGCCCCCGGGGGCCCCCCAGGCCGCCGCCAGAGAGCTCACCCTGGGGTCAAAGCCTTGAAGGAGATACGCAAGTATCGAGTGAGGGTTTAGGGTTTAGGGTTTAGGGTTTAGGGTTTAGGAGCGGGCCTGTAGTCGGCAATGAATGAGGGTTTAGGGGGGCTCAGGGTTTGACGCCTGGTGGTTATATATAAGCGGGGAGCTAGGGTTTAGCAATCAGGGTTTAGGGTTTAGGGTTTAGGGTTAGGGTTTACGGTTTAGGGTTAGGGTTTATATGCTTTATGATTCGGGTTTAGGGTTTAGAGTCAGGGTTCAGGGTTTAGGGTTTAGGGTCAGGGTTCAGGGTTTAGGGTTAGGGTTTAGTGTTTACTGTTATGGTTTAGGGTAGGGTTAGGGCTAGGTTTAGGGTTTAGGGCTTAGGGTTTGAGCCTAGGGTTTAGGGTTTAGGGTTTAGGGTTTAGGGTTTAGGGTGTTTGCAGAACACTACGGAGTTGCTGATCCCTCGCTCTCCCTTCTTTCGTCTTGTCCGTGAAGTGGCACAAAAATTCACTCCGCCGTATGCGGGGATGTACAGGTGAGGGTTTAGGGTTTAGGGTTTAGGGTTTAGGGTTTAGGTGGGTGTATGGTATGACCCCTAGAGAGCCGTGCATTCTATAGCGTGTATATATTATATATATTTATAAAATTTAAATATATTTATATAAATATAATATAAATAATATATAAAGAATATAATTTAAATATAAAACAAAAATACATTTCTTCTTTGCTGCACCGCTGGGGTGTATAGGCAGCTGCTATATATGTATTTGGGGTGTACAGGCACCTCCAACCCACCAAAAAAAAAAAAAAAAAAAAAAAAAAAACCCCTTAAA